CACCCACTTAGGCAAGAATATATATTTTCTCAAACAGAGTAATGTTTATGTGAAGTAGGCCAAGTAATAGAATTTTGGACCACAGATATGTGTAATATGGGAAACACAAACTGTGTACAAAGTGTATGCAATAGAACTTGACCTCATAACATTGGCTAAATGGGCAACAAGAAGGGGAAGATGGAAAAAAATCTGAAAGACAGGTTGAAAACATTTGTATTTATTCTTTTATATGACACATAATTAATTTTACCGCTCTATGCCGATTTTTTAAAATTACATAAAATAGTTTGACCTTAAAGATATTTACTTTCAACCTGTTCTAGATAGTCAAAACAGTGTTCATGAGGTAGAACCAGCTGCTCTTAGTCATGTGTCAACACGGATCAGTTCACGGAGCAGTACATTGTAGTTGCGAAGTGGCATGCAATGTAAAAATGGGTAGAAGTCTGGGCTCTGTAACTCGAAAGCATTGCGTATTGCGAACAGCGATATCACATAGACCCCATTCCCAGAGATTAGATCGATCTACTTTAGATCAACCTAACTCCCTGGGGGTTCACGCTAATTAGCTGTCAGCCGAGCGGGCACGAAAGTTAATCACCCTTTACAGCTTGTAGTAGGCGGTACGGACATTTAAGCCGGATTATCTGACAGTAATCTAGTGAGACTCCCCGCAGGGATAGATAGATCTAAACGCTCTGGGAATACGCCCATAGAGGCTACAATGTTTTATATGGGGCGAGTATGAGCGAATTATGGAATCGACATGCCTGCGCTCTATGCGATGCGCGATGCTTTCGAGGAGGCACTTTTTTGGCAGTTTGTTTACACAAACAACTAGCGCCACCTATAAGTATTATCGTCTGTGGTCCCTGATATCAAACGTTATTGATCGACCTAGCCGTGATAAAACTATGTAAACTAAAATGAGACAGCTACAGGTGAAAAAAAAAAGGATTTATTTTACTTGCCTGTTTCCAGTGTTCCCCTCTCACTGAAAACACAGACTGATCCATAGGTGCCACAACTGTGTCCGGATCTGCATTCCGATCTGAGAAAATGCTAGCCTGTTTCACCAGCACCTCTTTTAACATGTCTGTGTCTGCGATCACAATGTCCCCTAAAAAGTTTCCAAAAACACCTGTAGACAACGCGACCACCTTGCCGTACATCTTAATAAGATGACGATCTAAGTTACAAACGCCGTACTTAAACATATCTATCGTGTTCCCAAACACTGGCAATGGAGGTGGTCCTGGAAGGCCAAACTTCCGCCTGTTGTCCTTGCTGTAGTAAAGGTAGATGATGGTCAGGACGGCCACAACCACCACGACAACTAACCAGGACGGCAGGATGAAGAAATCCATGCTAACGAAGGCTGCACTGCAACTATGACCTACTCTGTATACGTGCAAATAAAACGGGACTGAAAATGGCGACCTTGTTGTGTGAAGGGAGATCGGTGACCAGTAAATTATAACGGAGCCCAGCTGCAGTTATCCAGGGTCACCCCTTATCACTCTATTTACAAATTGTCTCGACTTAATGTCTGCTTACTTTAGTCGATCACTCACAGTAGCTTGTTCAATTACTTGAACTGCCGACCACATCTAGACGTCAAGCAGTCAAGCAGTGTCTTTGAATAGGCGCACAAGGTTATCAAAGCACAGGACTTTAAATGTCTGCGCATGAGTAGGAGCAGCAGCAGCGTCCCTAAGACTGTTTGAAAAATGCACGCCTGGCTTCCGTGGCTGTCACCTTGATCTAAAAGACCCGAAAAACTACAGAAAACTAGAGGATCAGAGAGGCGATACCGCCTCCGGATATTGAACCACCAGCTGGAGTAAGGGCATTCGTATGGACCCCCCCTCCAAAAAGGGACACTATCACCAGTTTTGTGCTTGACAAGCTCTATAAAATGCAATCAACAAGAGTTCTCAAAATATGCAAAAAAAAAATATATATATATAACTAAAAATGGTACAATCAAGAAGATTTTTGAATTGACTTGCATTTTTCTGCCATTGATCACTCCCTTGATTCTCTAGACAAAAGGCCTATTGGTTTTCCTTGAAATGTGTTGTCAGTGGTGCATATATGCTGACAAAAGAGAAAACCTAGGGGCAACAATGGGCACATCTCTGCTAGTTTTGAAGATATGGGAGCAAGAAAATACGTAAAGCTCAGTTCATGGTGAAAAAGTAGGTCAAATGTCAATTTTAAGGTCACACTTAGATTGCCAGTATATGACTTCCTATTCATGTTCAATAGTAACTATGGACCTATCTCTGCCAGTTTTGGAGATGAAAGGGAACGAAAATTTGCAAAGTTCAATTCATGATGAAAAGTAGGTCAAAGGTCAAGTTCAAGGTCACACTTAGATTGCCAGCATATGACTTCCTATTCAAGTTCAATAGTAACTATGGACCTATCTCTGCCAGTTTTGGAGATAAAAGGGAACAAAAATATGCAAAGTTCAGTTCATGGTAAAAAGTAGGTCAAAAGTCAATTTTAAGGTCACACTTAGATTTCCAGTATATGACTTCCTATTCAAGTGTAATAGTAACTATGGCCCTATCTCTGCCAGTTTTGGAGATAAAAGGGAACAAAAATTTGCAAAGTTCAGTTCATGGTTAAAAGTAGGTCAAAAGTCAATTTTAAGGTCACACTTAGATTGCCAGTATATGACTTCCTATTCAAGTTCAATAGTAACTATGGACCTATCTCTGCAAGTTTTGGAGATAAAAGGGAACGAAAATTTGCAAAATTCAGTTCATGGTGAAAAGTAGGTCAAAGGTCAATTTCAAGGTCACATTAAGATTTCCTGTATATGACTTCCTATTCAACTTCAATAGTAACTATGGACCTATCTCTGCCAGTTTTGGAGATATAAGGGACTAAATGTTATAATTTAGGAGTTACAATAATGTGCCATAAATTTCCTATAGAAAAAAATTAATTAAAATAAAGTAAAGGTCATTTTGGTCAAAATTTTTGAAATGGGAGGTGCTCTGTAGTTCCAGATGTTCAAATTTGATGAATTAATGTCATTTTTGACCACAAGTTGTCTGCCTCGCCAAGCCTTATGTTTTATTTTTCCGGGGTTCAAAATTTATTATCCATTACCGTACTGCACATTTTGTTTTCACCACCAATATGTACTTTTTGATATAGCGTAACTTGAAAACCGTATGGAATACAAAAAAACGGAGACCACTTCCAGTGTTGGGCTTTACATGCTCTACAAAATGCAAAAAAGAATAGGTCTCTAGCATTAACGTTTCCCGAATTAGAGACAATTTTCAGTTTCGGTATCTAATGGCCGCTACTCCCGTAAAAATGCACCGATTGACCCCAAATTCACGGAGAGGAAAGATGACCCCAAGGGTAACACTTTCCAATAATATTATTGGTCAAGTCTGTCTGGTGTCTGAATAACAGCGCAAATAATTTTTTTTTTCGTAAAAAAATTCGTTTTTTTGAAAATTTTGGCCCGTTTGACCTTGAAAGAAAGGTCAAAGGTCAAATCCAAGGGCATATTTGATATCTACACATATGACTTTTGGAAAGCCGTCTGTAGAAATTTTTCCCATAATTCCTTTCGTAGGGTAGATAATTAGCAAGGGTGTATTGCAATGAGTGCCACACCTAGACCCCAATACCGACAAAGCCCAAATTTTACGTGGAACGAGTTGAGATTATAGGTGACCTAAATCCAAGAGATGGGTATGGCGGCCCTTACCGTCTAGGAGGAGAAGCGGTAACGGTGAGATGGCGGCGGAGCCAGAGGAGCCGGCGGAGCCGGCGGAACATGCGGGTCGGGACTAAAACCATGTGTACAATGACTGAAAATACCACGCTCGTGTAAGATAGGCAAATGCAAAACCCTGAACGAAATTGGTGGAGTATTTTGAAGCCTAAACAAAGTGATTGCTAACAGTATGGCGTAATCTGTCCTAAATTTGAGGTTCCGTGCTACAGTGCAGTGCATCCACTCTTTTTTTTAGTTAAGACAGCCCTGTTTATTCCCTTTTAGAAGAAAAATCTGCCCCCAAATTTTTAATCCAGACTTGGGCATCTTTCCGACATCACGCGGTTTTTTCTTCCGTTAAATGAGTAACTTCAAAACCCTGCGTTATTGCAACCCACAGTCGTGGATCGGTACGGTTCGTTTGTCAGTTGCCAACTACTTCCTGGTTTTCACAAGGTCTTTCAAAAAACTCTAAAACATCGTTATAATTGCAGCTCATACTTAAAGACACCCGGAAAATACTTAGATATGGGCATAACAGATTACATACATTCCACATGACAACGATTAATAGCCTCCCGGGAATTCTTTTCCCTTGACGCTCTTTGTCGCGCTAGCGGTTGATGCCGCATATATTTCAAAACAAATTGACAGCAAATTAAGCACGATTTTTCACCCTTAAAATCCGTGACTCGTTTTCATATCATGCTCCAATTATTTCTACAAGAATTCTCTGCATATAGATAAATTGTTATCTTGTCGTTTCGTAAGAAAAAATGCTTTTCTCTCAGAGTCCACGTCTTTACTCCCGATCACCTCCAGCTAAAAATGACCACTCAGCTTCTCGTCTTACACCACTACACGTCACTTCCGGCACAATTCTGATCAATTCTCGTCTCCTCCGTATCCCTTATTCAAGTTTGATCTGTGGCGTAGCTGGTAAAGGATAGAGATCAATGACTATCCCCACATAAGCATCATTTTAAACACGTTTAAGCACGTTCTGATGCTACATAAATGTGTATAAATTTGGTGACTCCCAGTGACCTCTTGATATTATTGCCATTCTTTACTTCGATGGAAATCGTTTTGAGAAAACCATATATGAAGGGATACATGGCCGAATGTTGTTAATTTAAACTAATGGTATAAGATATGGATATCCTCACAGGTATTTTGGCTTTTCTTACCAGTAAGTCATGTAAAATTCGGCATATGAAAAAAAAAAAAACACTATTCAAAACGGTTTAAAGCTGCCATACAATCATTTATATAAGAATAAAGGTGGAACAAACATTTTAATCAAGAGTGTAGAACAGACATATGCCAGCCTTTATCCTAACATAATATGCAACTCTTGGTTGTATAAACACTGTATAATAGGTACCCAAGTCCGAAGCAGGAGTTGTTACCTCATATTATACTCCATAAACATATCTGATAAACGTATAGGATAAAACATTAGCCAACTTACATCTATTCAAAATTTAAAGTGTAAAATATATGTATCTATCCGTATATATGTCACTCTTAGTTATATAGGAATTTCCAAAGCTGGGTAACGACAACAGATTCTACACAAAAACAAAACGTGAGATAAACATGGCAATTGTGCTTTTCTTGGTACGTTGTTTTTAAATGTTGCTGTCAGTAATTTTTGTATAAATTGTAGTGAGAATGTTGGAATCGTCATAGTCTAAGATAACATTGGTTTTTCTCACGGTGTTCAATTAGCCTATATAAAATACATTTAGTACATTAAATACAATTCTATAACATTCTGCATGAGCAAGTGCTTATCTAAAGGTCACCTTAACAAAATTGAAGTACATCGTTGCCCTAAGCAATTTAAAAAAATCCATTACCATGTTGACTCAAAGACGATGCTTAAAATCAACTTTTACAGTTTAATATGATGGGAAAAGTAGGCCTACGTGTTTAAAGGTACTCTGCGCGTGATTGAAAATTCCGTACAGTCAGTCCGATCTTGGGAAACCTGCACGTCCTTATTTTAGACAGTCAAAACGATAAAAATCCAAAAATGAAATTTTATCTGAAGTGCCTGTTATTTAAACATTGTCAGGTAATTTGACAGCTCGCAACGTGTGTATTACACGCGACACAGGGCTGCAATTTTTTTGTGTGTTATGATGTGAAAAGTAGGCTATTCCCGGTGAAGGTCTGAGAAGACACATACCATTCTAAAGGAAGGGCCAATCATGTTCAAGTAAATAATCAAATTACAGGTACGGCCAAGGAAATTCATTTTGGTGGGGAAATCCCGTATAGAGTGCCTCCGAATGAAAAAAAATTAACATTATTGACAAACATGGCATTCAATTTACGCATTTCTACCCTCTACTTTCAATACTATTGGCTTTTCGGGTTTCATTGGATTTGATGTAGAGAGAACCAGTGGGATTTGTGTCTCCGCGCATGTCTTCAAAGTGAAGTTCTGCAGGACCTTCACAAGGATAATCTTCATCTCCAGCAGGGCCAGACGCATACCAATACAGTTGCGGGGGCCCATTCCGAAGGGCATGTACCAGTAGGGGTTCCGTTTTGCTTTGGCCTCCGGTGTGAATCGCTCTGGGTCGAATTTCTCGGGGTCTGGATACTTTTCAGGATCCATGTGGATAGCGTAGATCGGAATAATCACGCATGTCCCCTTGGGGATGAATAACCCGTTTACTGTGGTGTCTTGGTTCGGGACGCGATCTACGCGAAACCCTACGGGATACAGCCTCATTGCCTCGTTTAAGACCTGCTCTAGATAGGTCAACTTTGACACGTTGTCGTAGCTGGGTTCCGTGCCTTGAAGAACGTCATCAATCTCCTCGATGAGTCGTTGCTGGACGTCGGGGTGGGCCGCTAAGAGATATGTCGTAAACCCCAAGGTATCACTTGTGGTGCCATGCCCTGCACTAAAGAATATCATCCCGTTGCCGGCAATTTCCTCGGTCGTTAGAGATTTTTTCTTCCAACTTTGAACCTCCTTTTCGTCGTCCCCAATTTCGGTTGCTGACATGGTATGGGCGGTGAGCATCAACTGTAGAAAATCGTTGTAGTGTCCCTCTTGGGCTTGTTCTCTCTCTTTCAGTAGCTTTTTTGTTTCGTTGCCAAAAAATAGGAAAGACATTAATGCCCCACGGAATCCGGGAACGTAGCGAAGAATGTGTTGTAATTTTTTCATCAATCGTGGAAAAAATAAAAAGCCAATCACTGCGGGGTCTGTCATTTTAAAACTATTAGCACGCTCGGCATTTGTAACATAGGGGTGGTTAGGGTTATTCAATGAGTCAACCTCGATCCCAAAAGCTGTAGCACATATCACGTCCATCGTGTAGCAGCCCCAGACTAAGTTATCAAAACTCTCTTTAGCTTCGGCTTTCTTCTTCAAGTTCTTGATCAAGGTGTTGGCGCACTTCAGAATCATTGCCTCCATGTGTCGGAGTTTCCCAGAACTGAACGTTGGAGTCAACGTGCTTCGCATCTAGAACGATAATTGTGGGTTTTTTGTTAAGTAAATTTCATTGATATTTAATTACAGTAATCAATGACTCATTGACTTATGATATGCAAGATCGTTTTGTTTAAAAAGTAAAGTCAAGTCAAGAAACCGCACATACTGAATAGGCCTATTGCAAGAATGTTTCTTTAATCAAAATAAACACGTAGAGCTAACACGTTTTTTCTAAAAAAAAAAAAAAAAAAAAATACACAGACATGATAGCTACATATCTTAGTATGAATACACCGTTAAAAATCTTGATCTGTCTCATTTAAATTAAAAAAAGTTATTCCTGTTTTAGTGACACCATAAGTGATTTTTTTCAGACGCCATTTTCAAAAACGAGTTAAAAGCAGCTCCACTCGATTTTCACACACTAAAAAAAGAAACTTGAAACTTGTCACATTATAAGTGAGCTAGGCAAGAATATACTGTTTAAATGCTAATTTTAGAATTTTCTTTTCCAAACAGATCAATGTTCATGTGAAGTAGGCAAAGTAATAGAATTTTGGACCACAGATATGTGTAATATGGGAAACACAAACTGTGTACGCAATAGAACTCGACCTCATAACATTGGCTGAATGGGCAACAAGAAGGGGAAGATGGGTAAAAAAATGAAAGACTGGTTGAAAACATTTGTATTTGTTCTTTTATATGACACATAATTCATTTTACCGCTCTATGCCGACTTTTAAAAATTATATAAAATAGTTTGACCTTAAAGATATTTATTTTCAACTTGTTCTAGATCGTCAAAACAGTATTCATGAACCAGCTGCTCTTAGTCATGTGTCAACACGGATCAGTTCACGGAGCAGTACATTGTAGTTGCGAAGTGGCATGCAATGTAAAAATGGGTAGAAGCCTGGGCTTTGTAACTCGAAAGCATTGCATATTGCGAACAGCGATCGATATCACATAGAGGCTACAGTGTTTTATATGGGGCGAGTACGAGAGAGTTATGGAATCGATACCCTTGCGCTCGGTGGCAATGCGCCATGCTTTCGAAGAGGCACTTCTTTGGCAGTTTGTTTACACAAACAACCAGCGCCACCTATAAGTATTATCGTCTGTGGTCCCTGATATCAAACGTTATTGGTCGACCTAGCCGTGATAAAACTATGTAAACTTAAATGAGACAGCTACGGGTGAAAAAAGGATTTATTTGACTTGCCTGTTTCCAATGTTCACCTCTCACTGATAAGACCGATTGATCCATAGGTGCCACAACTGTGTCCGGATCTGCGTTCCGATCCGAGAAAATGCTAGCCTGTTTCACCATCACCTCTTTTAACATATCTGTGTCTGCGATCACAATGTCCCCTAAAAAGTTCCCCAAAACACCTGTAGACAGCGCAACCACCTTGCCGTACATCTTAATAAGATGACGATCATAGTCACAAAAGCCGTACATAAACATATCTATCATGTTCCCAAACACTGGCAAAGGAGGTGGCCCAGGTAGGCCAAACTTCCGCCTGTTGTCCTTGCTGTAGTGTAGATAGATGATGGTCAGGACGGCCACAACCACCACGACAACTAACCAAGACGGTAGGATGAAGAAATCCATGCTAACGAAGGCTGCACTGCAACTATGACCTACTCTGTATAAGTGCAAATAAACCGGGACTGAAAATGGCGACCTTGTTGTGTGAAGTGAGATCGGTGACCAGTAAAATATAACGGAGCCCAGCAGCGGTTATCCAAGGTCACCCCTTATCACTCTATTTTCAAATTGTCTCGACTTAATGCCTGCTTACTTTAGTCGATCACTCACGGTAGCTTGTTCAATTTTTCACATGTACTGCGTGTTAGAAGGTACTCCCGACCACACCTAGACGTCAAGCAGTGTCTTTGAATAGGCGCACAAGGTTATCAAAGCACAGGACTTTTATGTCCGCGCGTGAGTAGGAGCAGCAGCAGCGTCCCTTCGACTGTTTGAAAATGCACGCCTGGCTGCCCTGGCTGTCACCTTGATCTAAAAAGCCCGAAAGACTACATAAAACGACCTTTAAATACAACGCTAGTGTACGATAGGCAAATACAAAACCCCGAGCGAAATCGATGGAGTAGGGGCCTATTTTTAAAAGGCCTTAACGAAGTGATTGCTAACAGTCTATATGGTCTATATGCCGTAATCTGTCCTAAATTCGAGGTTCCGTGCTATGTACAGTGTAGTGCACGCACTTTTTTAGTTTTAGACAGCCCTGTTTATTCCTCTTTAGAAGACTATGAAATATCTGCCACCAAATTTTTAAATCCAGACTTGGGCATTTTTCCGACATCACGCGTTTTTTTTTTTTTTTTTTTTTTTTTCACTCGTTAAATGCGTTATCGCATTTTAACCTAGCTTACGTTATTGCAATCCTACAACATATTTTTGTAGCTGTTTTGATGTGTTTTGTATCTTTCAAATATTGTTTTTAGCCTAAAAGCTAATGTTGCGGCTATTTGTGTGTATTGCAAAATGCATAGGACCTAATAGACTTATATGTATGTTATATAGGCCTATCTAGTCTACAACAATAATATAAGAAGGAATAATTTTTTCTTCTTGTGAGATCCAAATTCAGGGCTAAATTGCGTCAAATTCAAAAATAACTAAACCCGGAGGCCTACATAAGTCTACAAGTAAATACTCTAACATTATGTCAATATAGGCCTACGGGATTTAACCTGAATTTTCCTTTTCATATTTTAGGCTAAAATAGACTCGAGGAAGACACTCATATTTCTAACTTGTAGCTTAGCCTACATATATCAGTGTAGGCGCTACTTTCGTCGATATTCCTTCAAGCATTGCAATAACGGCTCTTCGCTTAAAGAGGTGTTAAAACTTCACAGGACCAAAAATGTTTTGACACAAATTATGAAGACAAAAAATTTATTTTCCAAATAAAATTGCATCAAGTGGACCAAATCTTGACCTGCTGGCACCGCTAATGCAATGAGCTATGTTGATTATCGATCCGTGGTTCTTATTCATTTGAATCGTTGAGTAATTACCATTTGCGCTACAAAATTAGATATTAATATATCCTAAGTTTGATAAAATCCACGTTTTTATTCTTGCCAAATAAGTCGATAAATAAAATCCTCTCGACAACTAAAGCCATAATAAAAAACAACCCTCACTGCCGTACTCTGAAGTAACGCGCTTGCTTATTGGTTTACCGTGTGTCACATGACTGAGTTGCCAAGCTTCGAAAAACGAATGTACACATCAGGGGTCAGCTGAGCAGGTGTAATTTTAGCCTGGATAGTGAATGATTAGTTCAACACACGGACGCTTTTCAAGTAGTTTGTCGAGAAACGGAACGCTATGGAATATAACTGTGTTCATAGGATATTTATTTCAGGCTGTAAAAGGTGAGTTTAGGGAACTAACTGGCTTATGCTTCTCCAAGATCCACCCGTAATGACTGACTGGCGGCGTGACGAGAGAAAAGTAGGATAGGCTTTGTGCAGGCTCTAACCTTAATTTGAGTCATGTGTGCACATTCGCAGCTTTTTACTCTGCATTTTTATTACCGTAGAACTAAATTCCACTAAAAATTATTCTGAGGCGTACACCTTAGCTGTAAAGTGGTCATATTGTGTAATAATCACAACAAAATTTACTATCAGTAGCTTTGCCAAAACCGATAACATAACCACTGTCTGCTACTAAATTTATGTCAACAGGTGCACGTGGAGCTAGTCTTCTTAATCACGTCAGTATTACGAGTAAATGTAGCATAAGTATTTATTATATAACATTGACCTTTAAGAGGAGGGGTATTATTTCACCAGTTTATTCATCTCTTTTTCCCTTTTTTCCATACATCTGTCTAGTATGTGGATTCATTGATCTTTTCTAGTAGTACCTTGTGTCTTTCAGCCATTTATCTATCTTTTACAGAAATAATCTGATTTTAACATTACAAACCATACTGGGGTAATTTATTGACTTGATAACAATCTATAAATCTGCATTTGAATTATGATCACATTTCGACTTTTTGCTAAGATTGGGTCAATACATTGATTCATTTCTTACTCCATACAAAGAATAAATGTTGATGATCGTGAATTATTAAAGGGTTCAAAATAATTACATTTCTGGTGATAAGGGATATGCCTTAGCAACTTTATTGTAATGCATTAATTGAGGGGAAAAATAAATTGAAGCTACATGTAACAGTCCTATTAAATTAAAAGTCATGGTCCCTGTGGTCTTTATTCCATTTATGACATTGGATACATGTGTATTGATATAATGCTTTTCACAAAATCAAAGAACACAGTGTCTAAATTTTTTAACGATTGTCCATAAGAAAAAATTAATTTAGTAAAAGACCAATGGAAAAAAAATTATCTTATATATATATATGCATTGTAGTCATGAGAAATCATACTTTTTTAAGGAAAATTTAATCTGCTTTTTCAAGCTTGTCAAAACTTGTTATTAATATAGTGACTTCAGTATATATTTGGCTGTATTAAGTATTTACGTAAATTGTTTCAGATCCTGGTAATGGGCTTGTCTAGTCCGCCTCTGTCTGTAGTTCAGTATTATGACCAGCTGCAGCATGCCTAGTCCCTCCAGTGTTGGAAAACTCAGCACAAGCCTTGAGGAGCTGTCCCTTCGCAAACAGCTCCCTCTACGGCAGCAGGCAGATAAGCCAGTGCTGAAATACAGCAGCAATTCCAAACCCATACATCTGTATGAGAAACGAGATGCGACGGCAGTGAAGAAGGGAGGGAGCAGTCCTAGTTTGCTGCAGACAGTACCATCTGGTACCAGTGGATATGGATATACTAATCATCATGCTCATATGGTTTCTGGGCCGTTTAAGCCCAAGCCGCCTGCTGCTCCTTACTTGGCAAAGAATGCAGGTAGCAACAGCGCAGGGTCCAGTCCACTGCAGAATCGTAGTCGGTATACCTCACCGCAGCGAAGCACGCCCTCATCCTTGTCACCATCATCAGGCTCTCCTTCATCTTCATCGACAAAATTACGCAGTGATCCATACTCTCGCCCCATCAGTGCCAAAGACGTCGAGGAAAAACTGCAGCAAAGTAGCACTAATTCTGCACTACGCAAATCATTATCTGGTTCAGCACTAAAGTCGTTAGCGATAAACAGTGGGGTCAGCGGACTGAAAGGACAGCGAGATATTGTCGTCCCCGCCAGCAATCCGCCATTGCCAAATGCATTTTTACGCCCTAAAAGTGCCTTAAAAAGTACTGAGCCCAGCAATAAGCCACCTCCGAGCCCTGTCAAGGACAGCTCTGTGAGTAAAAATAATAATGTTAATTCTTTACAAGGAAGCAGTGCCTTAGCTAAAGGAAGCACAAGGACAGAGACTGTTAAAAGTGTAGCCAAGGGGGACGGCCATCCACCAAAGCCACCCCCTGGGACAAGGCCCCGCTCGGCCCGCCCTCCGTCTGCCATGTTGGTGGCTCGGCCGTCTAGTGCCAAAGTACGCAATCCCAACTACACTCCTGTGAAGCCATACTCGGATATCTCCAGGGAGGGTTCCAATGAGAGCATAGACTCTGGGAAAGTTAGTAATAATAGTAATAACACAGGTGGTAAGAATGGCATTGATACCAGTGACAGTGACTCTGAGCTTAAAAGTGCTGGTGGTAGTAACAGTTCCAGTTCACTTGATAAAGCAGTGAAATTAACCCCCACCACGGAGCCTCATCTGCAGTCCAGTGGATCGGACAATGAAACTAGCGATAAAAACAACTCTGCTACCCCCATGAAGAAAATGCCAGTGACTGGCACACTTATTGATGGGACCATGTTTTATCGGAAGGATTCCCGCGAGGAACAAAAAATAGCTGACTATGGTGTTGTACGTCCAAAAGCAGAAGGTGCTCCAGCTAAAAATAGTACTGTTGAGAACTCCTCGTTGAAATCCCCAAGCAGCCAAAAGAAAGTAGTGGCTCATCCACAGAGTGGAAGATCGGTGAAGTCGACGGTATCCAGGATGTCGAGTGCTGTTGATGATGAGGCTGATGATGGAGAGTGGGAAGACGAAGGTGAAGTGGATGATGATGATGATGATGATTATGAGGATGGGGATTATGATGACATAAATACCAAGTAAGTGTATTTTTTTTATCCTGCTGTAGTAAGACTCAATTAAAAAAGACTTGGAGATTTTTTTTTAATGAAATGTTATTTACTAGTATTACAAGTTGTTGCAATTCATATTTCAAATGTTTGTTACTGCTAACAATTTTGATTTTACATACTAGTATATTTTGTAAGTATTTGATTGGCTGCTTTGTTATTATTGTTAATATTGTTGTTGCTGTTGTTAATGATGTTATTACTTAGTAAGTGATACATCTCATATCTTACACAAAGTTAAACAGTGAAATTCAGGCACAACGTGCACTCGTAGATGAGTTAACATGTAGATGATGTTTTTCAACACCCAGCGTAGTCTCAAGGCAGCAATTCAGGTTTCTTAAATCTCTCTTCGAGAGAAGCAAATACAGCTCCCATGTAATCCTTCCATTTAAAGTCTTGTGATTCACTTCCACATCAATAAGCTCCCACATGTCATGTAAGGGAAGGTTTATCTGTTGTACAAACCTGGTAACCAACAACGCTCAGATAAGGGCACCTTGTATTCCGACCTTTTAGTCCCTTGATCGCTTTTCAATTAAGGTTTAATCTGTGCAGCCATCACACGTTGGATGTGATTACTGACATGGCAGTAGAAACTGTCATACTTCTCTACTGTTGCCTAGCAGTGTTGTAATTACCTCAGATGGATATGGTATTTGTTTTTAACCCCTTGACTTCAAATCCTTTAAACATTTTTTTAAACTTTGAGCAAATAAGTTATATTCTGTGATTTTTTATGACTTTCAGCATTAGTTGTGTTTACTGTAAGTGGTTTTCTGTGTTAGGGTTTAAAGTGTCAGACTTATTTAGCAGGGACAGGTTTCAAAAAAGAGCCTCCAAGTCTTAAATGACCAATAGTCGGTCTTTGCTTTAGGACCAAAAACAAATTAATTTTAGATAAAATATTGGCCTTAAAAGTTAACCATTCTTTTCTTTAATAAAACATGGCCAATGTTACCTTGTTTGGTGAACCACTATCTTGGGTCAGAGAAGACGAGGAATTTTGATCTGAGAGTTGAGGTCATGACCAGCTTTCAGGTGCAAATTCTCTAACAGCACTGACCCCTGATGATGCTTAGCCATAAGTGATAAGATTTCTTTTTTATGGATTGGACAAGGAGTCTACAGATCACATTTTGATTGGCATTTAGTGGCAATAAATCATTGATATCAAGACAGAAATCTTTTTCCTATTATATAATTTCTAGTGATACTAAAAAAATATTCTTTTAAACATGTCACAATATATTTAAATATGGAGACAGAGTTTCCTTGTATTGTGAAAGTGACTTGGGGAAATGGAGTAGTTCTAGATTAACGATGGTCTACTGACTGTTCTCTGGGGAATAAAAGAACGGGTTCAGGTTGCGAAATAGTCGTACTAGTATTCTCATGCAAGCGAAACAGCAAATGTGCCTAGCAACCAGCACAGTTGCTAATTGTAGAGCCTTGGTAACTGAGAAATTCCATATACTAGTACCCTGGAAATATGCCTGTTAGGTTTCTTGTTTCCGAGTCACGAAAATTGAACAGGATTGACATTGTAATTATTACACCTATACAATCTCACTCAATTATCTGAATCAATGAAGTCAATTAACCGTGAACAATTGACAAACATAGAACCCACGGCAGGTAAATTTGTCAACGGCCCTCACATTTGCTCCCGGTTTTCATTGCGGAGACTACTGCCCACAGTATTATGAAAGGCCCAGATGAAATTCAATAGCCCTGAGCTAATATTTACCCGCCTGATTAGGGCCTTTGAGTGTGCTTAAAAACCCCTAACATTCAACATGGAAGTGTTTTGTGAGCCATGTAAAATGAGTTAGAATAACACCTGTTGACTTGAATTCTATGCTGTTCAGAGCTTGGAAATTTGATCAGCCCCCTCCAAGAATTGTTACTATACGGCTTTTGATATGAAAAGTTTCAGCCTTCCCCATCTCTCTCACCCCCCCCCCCCCTTCCCTTTCATTTCCTCTCATGCTTTGAACATGCCTTGGCCTGGTCCACTGTTGCTAAGGGCACCACCTCCTTATGCAGTTGCTTAGGGCAAACTTCAGAACTAAGTACTTAGTCTGTGACACTGTGGTGTGTATATAGCATTGGGAATTGCAGGAAATTCAGATGCAAAGATCATGTATGCAATGTTATATGTTAGCGCTGAATATTAGACACTTGATTTGGGAGCACATTACATGATAGATATATTTTGTTATGACATTGATGATGAAGAAATCCAAAATAATGAAAAGAAATGGTATAAAAGAGATTGAAATAAAAGAGAATAAAAAAAAACTGCATGTGATAGAGGAAAATATGTTTTATATGATAAAAAAGACATTGTTATAAACAATTCTTGAATTATTATAAATTTCATTATGTGTCTTCTTAACAATTACCGATTTCCTTTAACAGCAGTGAGCGGCTGCCTGCAGATGGGGAATCCTTTGGAGATGACATTGATGATGACGACGATGACATGCTTGATAACCTGGATGACGACGTTGTTGACGACAGCGATGCAGAGTCTGACACGTACTCCATTGGGAGTGCGGTCTCAAAGCGATCCTCAGCCACCAGTGTCAGGAGCACGCTGCGATGCAAGTCTGCAAAAACGAGACCTGCTGCGTCGACCATTTTGCGCGAGAATGCAACTTTGAGTTCTGCGGATGTCAGAACATTGACGACGAGACCCAAGTCTGCTGCTCTGAGAGATTACGAGCTGCAGCCCGCGCTGACTGCTAGTCTGTTTAGTAACGTCCCACCTACCATTAACTTTGTGGCAGATGGAGAGAAAGGTGCTTACACCTTTGATTTTGTTTATCTTTAAAACATCTTTTTAAAGAGTCACAGAAACTGTACTTTGATGTACTATATTTCTTATAAGTCTTTTTATTATCAATAAGAGAAAATCCTTTCTTAGAAAATGCAGTTTTTGTCGTGAAATATTCCAATTTTGAAAGGATTGTATCTCAGTTATTTAAAATGCATTTCATAATTTTAACATCACACTTCACTTCTTTTAGTTTATTTGAGTATTTGTATTAGTCAAGTCCATTTTTCACAAGCCACTCCTTTTAATTTTCCATAGCATACAATTAATCATACATTTATCTATTAATTTTCCAGTTGAGTCCCTTCCTTGGGAAATTAAGAAACTCCTCAAATGGCGCCTAAGTCCTGTGACACCAAACGTTGTGAAAAACTGCATCAATCGTTCCGGTTTTAGGATCACAAAGAGTAAGTAAATAAACCTCTGTACCAACATTATATCAAATATGCATGCTAAAAATGTAAATTATTCAAAGCATGTCTTATAATATTGTGTCATGGACATTTTTTGTTTTTGTATTAAACTCTCTGTTTGAAAGAGTTAAATGTATTTAGTTACTAGTGCATGGTGTTTCTTGGTTGGATGATTTAATATTCATACAGTGCACAGTTTTAATTATTTGCTTTTGGACTTGAATTGTCTGTGAATAGATGATTAAATTCTGACCCTGTCCATGTTGTGTTTTCCAAGATGGATTTCAATGGGTCAGTTTCATCAACACTGGACAGCACTATCTTATGGATAACACTATCTATTGAGTAGAATTGTTATCCTCCAGGCAGTTATCCCGAGGATAGCAGCCATTTATAACCACTGGATAGCTGTATCAGAGACAACAATATGTATCTAGTGTACTGTGTTTGAGAAACATAACCTTACCCATTGGATAACATGCCCAGAAGATAACAATTATATCCAATGGACAATGTTATCCATATGACAATGCTATCTGGTGTTGATGACACTGGTTCCTGGCATTGTTTACCTGAGCAATTGTGTAGTAACATACTTTTTACAGACATTATGAATGCAGAGAAAAAATTTAAAAGCGAACTTTAAAAAAAAGAAAGCTTTAAAAAAAGTTCTGTGTCAATATTTAGCACCCTACTGTCAACATTTGCCACCAGTTCTTGATGAAAGCAGTATAGGAAAGCCTTTTTATATTTAGCATTGCATAGCCTTTTTTCTTTTGCATTGCAACTTTCAACAGAAGGTAAACTGCACTGAGAATGGAGAAATGTTTTAGATGTTTTTGAACTTGTTTGTTTCTTGTTGCCTGGCAGTTTTCACTTGACCTTTGCCAGAAACTTCTTGTTTGACTCTTGAAATGTGGTGCTGTTGAAAAGATTTAATCAAGATTGTGTATACTGTTGATCTTAAGTTATTTTGTCATTTGAAATAGTTTCAAGTTTGGTTTGAACTTAATTATTTCAACCTTTCAGCAAGTGTGCATTAAATACATACTTCATAAAATCATGGTTTGATTTTATATTTTTTTACATTATAATTTCACACACACACACACACATTCCAAATCAAATATATAAATAATGATAAGTGCAATATAAGTAAGTCTAATACTTGATAGTAGAAGTGTTTATACACATTATCAGTTTTTATAGCACTTGCTCATTAAGGGCTAATTGATTTTCCTGGATAATTGTACTTCAGTGCATTAATTCCAGTACTGCTATGATTTTCTGAGTGGGATTTTGTTCAAGAAGATTGATTGAGGACTAAGTGCTAATATGCTGTACATAAAGTGTCAAACATATTCTCACAGTTTGAAAATTAACATTGTTCTTGATTAACTTGAAACTAATTTTTGATCAAAATTGATCAGATTAGACATGGGGAAACTGCCTGCCAGACAGGTCATGACTGCTTGAAAGGATTTTTGCAGGTCCTCTAGACTGGCAAGGTTTATGTGAAAATAGAATACATGATAATAAATCATGTAAACATAGATTAATAAAAATAAATTACTTAGTTTAGACCATGACAGAATTGTTAGAACCTGCAGATTTTTTGTAGTGCATGTTCTCCAGACCTTCGATATGCCACAAGTTTTCCCCATGTCTGTCTTAAAGACACATGATTTTGAAAGAATTTTGTGTACCATGATTTAGATTACTGGTACTGTTAAAGTGCTTGATATCCTGTTGATATTCAATTAAATTTTTTTATTTTTTGCCTTTTTTAGAAAATCATGATTGGCTAGGTTGCTGGGGGAAGCATATGAAGGCCAATGCATTCCGAGCCATCAGAGAGTATCAGAAAGTAAGATATATTACACAAATAACAAATGTCAGAGAGTATCAGAAATCAAGATCTGCAAATATTTGACAAATAAGTTAGCAATTATTGTGGTATTTTGTCAACTGATGTTTTTTAAAAAATTGAGAATTTCTGAAATGAAAGTCATATTATGTTTGATATATAGCGTGTTGATCTTGCTAATCAGTGTTGTGTACACGATAAAAGAAAGTGGATAATAAACACAGAAAGATGGGTTTGAATGCACAGGATACAATAATGCACAATAATGCATTTGTTCTCTTATTTCCTCTCTCTAGCTCAACCACTTTCCGGGATCATTCCAAATTGGCCGCAAGGATCGTCTCTGGCGCAATCTGTCCCGATTACAGGTGCATTTTGGGAGAAGAGAGTTTGGCTTTTTTCCGCAGACGTTTGTCCTGCCTTATGACATGAAACTGCTGAAGAGAGCATGGGAAGATGGAGGGTCCAAACAAAAGTGGATTATTAAACCAGTGAGTAGGGATTGATAATTAACAAATAAGATGACATGTGAATGATAAGTTATAAGTTCTTCATTTAAAATTGAAATAATGTAAAATGAGTAATATTGGAATATTTTGAACAGACTTTGGACAGTTTGAACAGAATTTGGATATTTTAAATCGAATTTTAGAAATTAAAATTTTTGTCTCTTGCAGCCTGCGTCTGCCCGTGGAATTGGAATCAAAGTGATCCACAAGTGGAACCAAGTGCCAAAGAGGAGGCCGGTTATTGTACAGAAGTAGGTGTTCAGTACTGATCCACTGAATAGAGAGCATATTTTAATGACACATTTCTGGGTCTGGTTTTACATATTTGGTGGTGATTTGTAGACTACACTGGTTGGTTTTTACTTTGACTTGAGGTGCATTTTATGTAGTAAAGTCTTTAAATGACATCAAGAAAATATACATAAATTATACATTATTTCAGCTGTATGTCTTTTCAATAAGTTTATAAAGATTATAAGACATCCACTTTATTTATCTTACTGGACTTATTCAACTATATACATTTCCATAATCCAATACACCTTCCTTTATTTCCATGTACTTGTCTATGCAGTAAGAAGTGTTGAACTCTGTACATATCCTTAATCCTTGTATTCTCAGGTACTTATCCAGGCCATACTTGATCAATGAGAGTAAGTTTGATCTGAGGATCTATGTGTATGTGACCAGTCTGGACCCACTGAGACTGTACGTCTTCCAGGACGGACTGGTCAGATTTGCCTCCATGAAGTAAGTGCACCATTCTGTCTTATAAATAGATACTTCTGATAGTTTTTACTATCTCTCTCTTTCTTTTTTCCTTTAATTTTTTTTTTAAATTTTTACATGAATAAATGAATATATAACAAAAGCATAATCTCATGTATTAAACAATATAATACTATTAGGCAGTATCATTAAAAAAAAAAAGAAAAAAAGGATAATGAAATACAATATAAAAATATTCTGCGTGCAGGAGTAAAATATATTCAATTTGATTAGAAGACAGAGTAATATATATTTATCTTCTTCAGATACTCTAGCTCAATGAAGAACTTGAACAACAAATACATGCACTTAACCAACTACAGCATTAACAAGAAGAACTCTGGCTACCAAGCTAATGGGGATGACACTGTGTGTCAAGGACATAAATGGTAAGACCAGTAATTCTGTCATTTCATGGATACCTGGTTTACTGCTACAGCAGTGTGATTTTTGATATTTGGACAGTTATCCAAGAAATAATTTGTATGAGGGAAAACAATTTAAATAAAGTGAAATGAAGTGAAAGATTACAAAAAAGACATTTTTGACAAAATATGTATCTCCATTCCAGATTTTATTTAAACAGACAATACTTCAGAGTATTTATGGGGAAAATGGGCTTTTTCCCAATATAATGAAAACTTTTAATGAAATATTTCATATGACTATATGACTTTTTTTTCTGTAGTAGAATGTGACTTTACACTGTTACCTTATTCTGTTTTTACCTCTGCCAGCTATATAATCAATGCATTTTGTATATCTTCCAGGTCACTGAAGTCTCTGTGGGGATATCTTCAGAAGAAAGGGGTCAACTATGGCCCTATCTGGGAGAGCATCAAGGATCTTGTCATTAAAACTATTGTCTGGTTAGTTGAATCATATTAGAATATTTTTTATGAATGTCCTAAAGCAGAACCAACTTAGGACCATACTCCATATACATTTCTTTTTCATAACATAATGACACCTGTAGTGAATTTATTATTGGCTATTTTACATTTTTTAAATTCAGTTTCAACTGCGCAACCAAATAATACATTATGTAATTGGTTCTATACTAGTAATTATTTTTAAATCCACTACCAAATTTCAGTCTTAATTGCTTACTAGTAGTTAAAAAATATTTAATATTTTTAAACAATTAAACTCCATACACATATATTGTCTTGCCCTGCCTGATGTAGTATTGTATTGTATTGCATTGTAATTGCACTGTATTGTTGTGTATTGTGCTGTATTCTATTCTACAGTGCTGAGGCCCCTATGAACAGCCTGGTGAAGTCAAACTGTCAGAGCACCTACTCTGTCCATGAGCTGTTTGGCTTTGATGTCATGTTGGATGAACAGTTGAAACCCTGGATACTGGAGGTTAACATATCCCCCAGGTCAGTGAACTAAAACAGGTGTTTAAAATGGATTAAATGCAATCTTTGGTTTAAAAGATTACTCTATGTTGACATATACAACAGTTAAGGGAACTCAAACAGGTGTTTGGAAATGGAGAAAAACTGATAAAAAGATGAAAAAGAGCATAGCAAATAGATGAGTAAAGTTGAAGCAGTGTTTGAAAAAGGAGAACCCTTTGAGCAAAAGACTCCTAACCACCCTTTAAAATGATTGTGAGATTTTCCAACATATACTGAATGTTGAGGGTTAACCCATCCCTTTGGCAAATAAAGTTGAACAGGTCTGTGAAATTTTTAAAAAAATCTAATTATAATGTTATCCTGTAAGAGCTACACAAAAATCTTAAATGTATTATAATATAACAAACCTAATGTATCTCTCCAGCCTCCACTCTAACTCTCAGCTGGACATGAACGTCAAGGGTCAGATGATCAAGGACCTCCACAACTTGGCTGGGTTCCAAATCCCAGACAAGAATGACGTGGTGCAAAATCCTTCTGCTCCCGCAGAAACAAGGTATTACTTAAAAAAAAAAAGATACATTGCATATTCACATATTAAGCATAATGCCTTCCTAACCAAAGGAAATAAGGGCAAGAAGACAATTACACAATATGTTCTTATTCTTTGAGGAAAATCATACGTCATGCAATAAGGTAACAGAGTTTAGTGGGCAGTCTGTTTCCAGTTCAGTTGCTCATGTCTGTAAGTATAACAGTTTCAGCAGAGATTTATATTATAATAGATTTATTTAGTAAATACATTTTATGATGTCTTTTTGTTGCAGCAATATCAAAGTGCCTAGTGAACTGATCATGGACAAGAGATTGTTCACACAGAATATGGCTCCTGATGAACGAGCCAAGCATGCCTACTACTGCCAGAAATACCAGGATGATGTGAGTGGAACAGTTAATTTTTCTTTTAATTTTGTTATTTGCTTTATTATTACATTCTTCTTCATGCATAAACAAGCACAACTTTGCAAAAAAAAAAAAAAAAAACAATTCAGCTTGAAAACTATTTTGTAATGATATCATGTAAAAATGCAAGGCCTATGCTTCTTCATTTATTTGTTCATTTTGAGAGCAAGAGAAGCAAATTTATAGTCAATATAGTATTGCTAGCAAAAGTTGATATGTAAATTGTGAGTGGCTGATCTATGGACATTTTAATAATCATGATTTTTTTATTTTTCATCAGCAAATCCAGCAAACTGTGCTTGACACGCTGACGCCAGATGACATCCGTGTCTTGATAGCTACAGTAGATGAGGACTCCAGGAAGGGGGGCTTTGAGAGGGTGTTTCCCACTGCCAAATCCAGCAAATATCTCAAGTTCTTTGAGCAGCCAAGGTACGGTTGAGAATTTTGGAAACTTGGAAACTGTTCTGTAACATTTATTGTTGGGCATGTGCTGTATATTTATGTAAAAGTGAATGTTTAAATTTTTGGACGAATTTGGTTAATATCCTTGGAAGGATGGATAATTTTGATGTCATGAAAAAATTTTGGATGAACCTTGTTATATCATATTTAAAGTTCAACAAGTTTTCCATTTTGTATTGCTCTTTGAGTTCAGAGAGCAGTCAAGAATATTAAGAACAGTTCTGAAATATATTACATAGCTAATTGTGACCATTTCAAATCAGTCAGTTTGAAAAATATTCAAATCCAACCCTAGGTACTACAACCTGTTGTTAAACCAGTGGGTTCAGAGGTATAACAAGATGGAGGCAAGGGGCGTGGCACTCCTGGATTCCTTCTGTCAGAAATGGGTCCATGTGCAAAGTCCAATTACAGATCCTTATCACCAGGTATGTAAGAGGAGATTCCCCTTTTCTCTTGGATAGAATAGTGATGATAAAGTGAATGAACAGTACTACACTGTCTTTTCATGGAAAATCTTTACTGTCAGTGCTTACATGACTGAAACTGGCATTTCACTAGTTGAATTGTTTTGTCAACCTTTTGGTTTTGGTACATATGCTTTAAATATTAGGAAAAAAATTAGGAAGAAACTGGAAACAAGCCAGATCTCTTTTGGTAAGGGGGTGGGGGGGAGTTGCTAACTGGAAAAAAAGTGGAGATATTGCTTTAATGCCAGTAACTTTGTGTTTGCATATTAAATCTGTAGTCTTTCCTCAGGTTTTACAATAAAAATAATGTATTTTCTTTCAGTGGAGTCCTCCAAATGCCACCCCTCGCACACTGAGTGCTCCGTCTAGCAAACCAGGAGTAGGGAACTCAAGGTGAGTCTCTTCATATAGACTGGACTTCACTTTTATAAAGGGGGGAGGAGAAGAAAAAGAACTCTCAAGATGCTATAACCAATTTGTGTCTTTTCATACTTAATTTGTGCATACTAAGAACTTAAAATGAATAATATAAGTGAATGAAGGATACATGATTTATAATTAAAGGGATAATAACTCTTCGTTTTGGCCAAAAAATAAATTTTCCTGAAGTAAACAACAATTTTCCCATACTTACCAATGATTAATGAATCCATTTTTACATTCAAAGTTAGTCCCTGTTTTTTTTTCTAAAAAGTTTGGTTTTTTGTTAAAATCTCTTAGGAGATTATAACAGAGCATAGCCATCAATGGAGGCCACGTGGTCTAAAGACAAGCTCAAATATCAGAATAATACTGAATAGCTATAACTGCTGTTTTTGTCGTAAAACAGAATATATTATATTTCTATGAGTTTTTCACAATGTTTTTATTATGAAATATAGACCTCATATGAAGAGTTATTATCCCTTTAAGTAAATGAATAAATAGATAATTGAATATATGCTATAAAAAGGCATTTGAGGAAAAAGAGCAGATGATAATTCGGATACAGTAATTATATCAGAAAATTCAGATCAAAATTTCACGAGTTATTTGTTACCATTGCAGTTCAACATCCCAGCTGCCAAAACTACGCAAGAAGAACAACAAGCCAATTCAGAAAATGTCCCACTCAGGAAGTGCGTCATCACTGGATAAGTACATGATGCCATCCAACCCACCGTCCAAACAAAACAGATGAGGCCTTCCCCGTCTACCGCCATTGAAGGAACTTTTAGAAGCTTCGGATATTACATTTTTTGGCCAGCAGAGTAGTAATAGTAGTAGTAGCATTCGACTTCACCTTACACCTGGCGAGAGTTTGAAGCAGCAGCGTAACTCTATATCGGACTGGATGAAGAAGGTACGCGAGTCTATTGGAGAGTTGCCAGATTCCACAGCAACCAAGGAGAATCTAACTGACACTGGTGATATCAGTGTTGAAGAAGATAGCATTCCTCCTTTAACTTTGCCATTGAATTTGAAGGAATCCTCAAACTCTGTCACAGGGACTTCGCCGTCATTCCTGGAAGCAGTGACACAGAAACGTGCCAACTCTGTCAGCTTGGCCATAGCTCGAAGGGGTTTGCTCCCTAAGAGTGGTAATAGCGCCACCTTGCGGGAACATGCACGTCTCAGCAGCGTCAGTCGTGTTGGGCTGCGTGACCTTGACAGCAGTCTGTCTCAGTACAAGAAGGCATCATGGTCTCAGTCCAGTACCTCGGATTCGGCCGTCTTCACGATGTCAGGTGCGGAGTCAGAGGCACTCGATAACAGGCCTGCAGCTAGAAGAGGAGGAAGACCTCGGCCCTCCTCCTATAAGATTCAGCGCCATTTCAGCTTCAACAGCAAGGATTACACAGGTCCCGTAGGGTCAAATATTATACCTGTGTGGAGAGAGACACTGCAGATCATGCGGCGCCATAGTTCTCCCCAAGGTAGCAAGCTGCTCGCCAGAGCTCAAGTGTACTCTGTGGCCGAAGTTCAGAATCTCAATGACATAGGACACCCATCTTCTTTTCACGCGCACAAATAAATAAGAACTGCCCAATTGAGGCTTGGATGCCATTGGTTCATGACACGTTTCTGTTAACGTCGAAAAGGCAGGAATGCTGACCATGTAACAAGCATTGTGAGTGATCATTTCCTATGACGTAAACTGATTGGGCAGTTTTTCAGGTCTCCTCTGTGATAGTAGTGTAATATGTAGTACTGGCGCCATTCACACTAAATTTATTGTGTTGTTAGTATAGAGTGTTTGTAGGTAGTATATTATCATGCTTACATCAGATGACCATATCATCAGTATTACAATACCCCCCAATGATGGATTAGGTTTTTTTAAAGAGACCAATCACCTTGGCCCCCATGTGATATAAAATTATTTTTTCAAGTAATATGAGGCCAAGGGATGTCTTTATGCAACCTAAAAGTTTGTTTAAACACAGCCATTAGAGTGGATTGCTAACGCAAGTGGCACACAGTTACTAGGCAATGTTAGCCAAGTTGCTGCTCCAGGTAATAAATACATCAAGGTAATGCCGATGATTACAATGAAATTCATGTCTAATGGACTGAGTTAATTGCCTGTTGTGCACCTTATGTATGGGCTGCCAAAGGGTATGTGGGGGGGGGGGTGTCAGATCTCGTTCATGTCTCACTCTTTTTCTTTACACCCACATTTCTGTGCCTTTTACTAACAGTTTCACTTTCACTTTCACTTTGCATGGAAATGCAAGCAAGTCAGCTGATTCAGAGAAGTATATGCAACATAAGTATTATCATAGTTAGGATTAACATTAATTGTAAGTATTTATTTTTATGCAAAAGTCAACATGTATGTGACTGTTATTTCCTAACATGTAGACGTGGTGGTTATATTATATTATAATGGAACTGAGTTATATACTTTACTGAACACTAGGGATTTATATATTTTATATAAAACTTAAATGCCTAGGTGATATATTACATTCCAGGCACTATAAGCCATTTACGATTAATAATTTATAGACATGTATCTAATTTAAAGGCAAAATAACATGAATACAATATATAACAATACTAATCAATATCTTATTGTTTTCAAAATGGATGTTTTACTACAAGTCTGGGGTACATTTGGAGTATTTAGAAGAACATTGAGATAAAAAGTACCTACAAATTACAAAAGGTATCACCTATCCCATTTTCATGACCAAGTTTCATGGCTAGTTATTTATTTTTTGGTTTCTTTTTCATAAAAGTGTTGTTAAAATAAGATTCTTTTCACAATACTTTAAATCATTAATTGTTATGGAAACTCACATGTTATCACAAATTTTCACTCAATCACATCATTTACTAACATCAGTTTCATGTTTTTTGTGTGTCACAGTAGCATGACCATTAGAATTCAAGAGAAAGAGAACCTCTCAAAAATCAAAATGGATAAAATGTGAAGCTAAAATTTCTGTTCCTTAAAATTGTAATGGGGTAGGCGGGGATTTGTTGGGTCTGATAGTTTCTAAATTTTGAGAATTGTGCCTTGTACAATGTTTCTTATGACTGCGTTGACTGCAGAGACATCTATAGGAGGCATCTAAAGACCCCTTTTTCAAAAATTGGAAACTTTCAGAACAACACAAAATTCAAACATTATTTGTCTAGTCAGGTTTTGTTTTGTTTGATAGTGATTTTTTTTTTGACCGATTTAAAAAAATGCTCAGAGTGATGCATGTACTGTAGCTTTTTGTTTGTTGTTAAGTTTGTCTTTGTGTTTATGTCCTGAAAGTTTAAGTGTTGATGTGTACTGAATAATACTAGGGTAAATACTTTTTGTTGAAAAGTTAGGCTTAAAAATTCTGTTGTTATGCTCTTATGCAACTGAAAAAATACAACTATTTAAATCATGTGTTCATACAAAATTTATATTTTTTTTACTAAACACTAGCTACTACATAGCCTACTAAGAATTTCAAGATTGGATAAATTTCAACTAACACAACAGGTTGTGCTACATACGAAATGCCATGGAGTCGAATCAAATTTAACATTGCTCAAGAAATGTAAAAAAAAAAGAAGGTTATGCAAATTTGTTTGCCAGTAATGTACATATTTTCTTGTCGATTACTGACATTGGCTGTGCCAATTTCTTTCAAATTGAAATAAATTTTCAGATTGAGTGAAAGAGAAACCAGTGTTTTACTTTTTATTTAAGACTGCAATTTTTCAATGGGTTAAAAAATTAATTTGTGAAAATTAACGCTACAGTAGGTTATATGAAGTATGGTTTTGGACTGCTGCACTTCTTTACTCAAAAATAAAATGATCAGCTTTGAAATTTGTGTTAGATGCAGCAATGCACAGTCTGGCTTACTCTGTCAAGAGCAAGCCTAATGAAGGGAGTGTACGTAGCAGAGAACCTCTCTCCAAGGGTTGAATGCTGTAAAGTTCAACTTGTGAAATGCGGCATGTGGATGTTCTGGAGATAATACACAGAGTTAAACTCACAAAGTCTTTCTCACTTTTTATTCCGTTTCATTCTTAATAACATTTGGAACTTCAAGCCATCTTTGGGAAAATGTTTGAAAACTCTTTTCTTGGAATGTGGAACATTTAGATGGACATCTTTTGAAAGATATTTAAATACTGTTGATAGATGTTTGAATACATACTTTGGATTTTGTTTAATAAAACTAATTAAATATATTGGACTAAGAACCATCTTTTGGTAGATGTTTGAACACTGTTGACTCCATATCTTTTCTTGGTTGTGTTGGTGGCTTCATTTGCTTCATCATAAGGCGCCCATAATCTGACCCCTGAATTCCTGCCTCGCGCAATTTTTGCTCTAATCTCACTCTAGGGTCTGACGCAACCTGGAGAAGATAGTTTTATATTTTAATTGTGACATGATTGTGCTCATGATTTACACAATATCTTGACTAATTATCCAGTGTGGTTTCCAAAATTAGCAAATCTTGATCTCAGTCTTGGCTCTGATGCGATTTGGAAAAAACAGTTACTCGATCTACAATAAAAAAAAGATGGCAAAAAAACTTAACTGTGGTTTCCAAAATAAGCAAATTTTAGTCTCACTCTTTCATACCTCTTTTTTTTTTCACTTCAAAATTATTTTGACAATAACTCATAAACAGTGGGTTACCTGATTTGCTGAAAAGCCAAGCATCTTGAAGAGAGGTTTCTGAATATTGATGTCTTCATCCCCTGTTACTCTACTGTGCCACGCCTGAGATAAAAAAGACAAATAAAAAGCAAAAAAATCATTAAATCAGGTATTTACCACAGTGCATTATTAGTTTCATTTAAATAAATTATAATTAATGGAAATTTAAGCAAACAATTAGCGTTGATTACACACTTTTATGGTTAAAATTCATAGCTTTCAAAATTTCTGTCAAAAACTAAAATTAATCAGAACAAAAAAAGAAATTTTCCAGCATCCATTGGAGAGTGGGTTGGGGAAGGCAGGAAAAGAGAACAGGAACAGGGTGTAAGTTAATATAAAATTATCACCTACCTCAGTGTCATTCCATATCCTCTCAGGATCACTGGCCACCACAGGACGCACCTTGAAAATAAAATAATTATTACTTTAGTCTACTCTTTAAGATTGCAAAAGTCGATATAAAATTCTCTGGCTTTTCCTTAAAAAGAAACAAAGGGAGGGGTTTGGTTTTCCTCCAAATTAGTAAAGAAAAGATTAAAACAGTTAGCTGAACAAAATGAGCAAAATGTCAGATTCTTTCATTTATTATAATGAGTGAGTTATTCAATCTAGTAAGTATTTGTACACCTTGAAATAACTGTGTATAAATATATTTCAAATCTTTTACAAAATAACTTCCTAATCAAATTCTTATTTTCGCTTTAGAACCAACCTTTTCCCTGAGAGCCTCCAATCTCTGTTCCCTCTCCTCCTCATCTCTCAGCCTGTCCTGCTCCTTCTCATACTTAGCTATTTCTTTCTTCAATATCTGCTCCTCACGGAACTTAACTCTAGAAGAGAAAAATTTATAACCGTTTTATTTCAAAATGATTAAACCTAAATTATTTTGGGGTGAAACACTGGCTCTTTAGGTCAGGAGGTTGCCATAACAACAACAACAACAACAACAACAACAACAAAAGATAAGTTCTGTATTATATTTCAACATGCCATACCTTTCTTTATCATGTACTGCTTGTTCTTGTAGAATTTTCTTCAACTCTTCCATTCTTTTTTGTTCGTCCTCCCTTCTCTTTCTCTGTTCTTCTTCTTGCTGTATGTGGTACTTGTTCAGCTGAAATGGCACCATAAAATATATACTGTATAAAAAAAAATCAACATAAAGTAATTAGAAAGAAAAGATTAATCACTAAGCCAAAAGCAAAATACAGCTGTAATCTCTTTACATAATTGTTGTATAGAAATACCAAAGCACAGCTTATAAATAACTTTGAAATTCTTTTAAACTGTATTTGTCATTAATCAACCTTAGTCAACTCTTTACATGCAAATGAAATAAAACATTCTTCTTTCTAAATCTTAAAATTCCGTCAAACCTTTTCCTTTTGCTCTTGTCGTTTCTTCTTCTCTTTTTCTTCTTCTATTTTCATCAGTTCCTCCTGTTCTTTCCTCTTCCTCTCTTCTTCCTGTTGTTCCAGCCACATCAGCTCCATTTTCTGTTCCCTCCAACGCTGCACCTAACACAGCAAGTGGAAAACAAGAAAAGGTGTACTGTTCTAATTTGAACATTTCCCCAAAACATGCTTCGTAGGTCTACATATCCTGCAAAGCTTCTAATCTTTCCAATTTCAGACCTTAAAAACTATCCCCCCCCCCTAAAATAAAAGAACACTGCGAGTGGAAAACAAGAAAAGGTCTACTATTCTAATTTGAACATTTCCCCAAAACATGTTTTCTTAGTCTACATATCCTGCAAAGCTACTAATCTTTCCAAATTCAGCCCTTAAATCTATAAACCCCCTCTAACATAACTACCTGCACTAAAATGGTAAACTGTGAGAGTGGAAAAAAAAATTGGCAAGTAATACCTACATCTCAGACACATTAACTTTGTCTTTTTCACACTCACACCCACAGAGTAACTCACCTTGTCATAGAGAACATCACAAAGCTCTTTCTGCTTCTGCTTGAACTCGTTTTTCACCTCCTCCAATTCCTGGGCCATGCAAACTTCGGCAAAGGTGGCGCTGGCCTTGGTGAGGAGCTCCTTCCTGTCCCGCAACCAATCCAGCGTCAGAGCTTTCTTCCTGTCATGGTAATATTTGTGTCTTGTACACCAATCTTCATGATCAACCTGACCCATAAAGTAGACATTATTTTACTAATTGAGAGTTGTTTAAGTACCACTTTGTTACCTATCCGAATGATAAACAAACATCTATGTGTCTAATGAAGTGATCTTGATTTTTGTACCAAATCTCCACAATTAAAAAAAAGAAGGAAGGGAATTATGCATGGTTTAAAATAGCAAGAAGAAAATAAAACAAACACACAGTTTCAAGTGTAAATTCTTATGTAATCTGAGTACTCCTAAAAATGAAAATAAAAAAAAATCATCTTAAAAATGTTTAAATACAGTTTAAACAACATACAATAACCCTTACCAGTTCTTGTCTAGATTTCCCAGGAAAATGTCTCTTCAGTCTGTCTATGTACAGCATTCTTCTGTTGGTCATGTCATGGGGGTATTGCTCTACTATAACTTGGAATAGATAATGATCCTCCTCACTCCAACCTCCCCTCTCTGACCTATAAGATGAGAATTGTGCTTTAATAATAATAATAATATATGATGATGATGATGATGATGACGATGATGATGATCTATTTCGACTGATATAAGTAGGACTGATCAAGGCAAAAGTTTGGGTTTTAAATACCTGATATCCTTAATCAATGATATCAGCCTACTTTACAATATTTTCCAAGCAGAAAGGGGTAGGAGGATCCAGGATATCAATCCCCCCCCCAACTACCCATCCTACTTGATATCCAAGAATCACCAACTGTGTATGGACATGTAATTTTGGAATTGGCCCCAATTAATGCAGTCAAATCCCTGTATCCACAAATATCAACCATAACAACAAATTTACCCTAAAACCTGAGCGTGTTCCTGCTCCAGGTCCTCCAGTCTGGCCCTGTGCTGTTCATCTAGGAGGATAAACTCCTGGAGGACCGAGGCTTTCAGGTCAAGGTCAGGGCACTCCAGTTCAAAGGCCTCCATGGGGATCCCCCCTTGGACCTTCTTCTCATGGGTGTGGCACAGTTCTGCCAGCTCTCCTGAAAGATTGAGATAAAGTTAATATTTATATGATTTGTAATATACTGTTATTGTAGAAAAAAAAGGATGGGGATGTTTACCCTCTTACCATTTTTGTGTAACTGGCCTTCAATAAATATAGTAAATTTATTATTGTTATTATATATAAAAATTATGACAATTTGACTTACTGTTGTAGGGTCTTGGTTAAAAAGAATGTTGTCGGGTCTCAGTTAAAAGAGAAGAAAAATAATAGACTATCGTTATGGTAATGGAATGAACTATCCCCAAGGGGATTCTCACTTAATTGCAATTAACTTGGGTGGTTTAGATGTCTGTCACACTTGCTGAGGCTGATAGAGAGTAATTAAAGGGATAATAACTCTTCGTATGAGATCTATTTCACAATAAAAACATTGTGAACAACTCATAGAAATATACTATATTCTGTTGTACTACAAAAACGGCAGTTATAGCTATTATTCTGATATCTGAGCTTGTCATAGGACCACGTGACCTCCACAGACGGCTATACTCTGTTATAATCTCTTAAGAGATTATAACAAAAAACCGAACTTTTCAGAAAAAAAACCAGGGACTAACTTTGAATGTGAAAATGGATTCATTAACCATTGGTAAGTATGGGAAAATTGTTGTTTACTCCAGGAAAATTCATTTTAGGGCCAAAACGAAGAGTTATTATCCCTTTAACTATCGCTTAGCAGCTTTAGTGGGTGTCCCAGATGTCTAAGATGCTGGGGCTGAAAGCAGTTTAGCGAGGGACCCATGTAGATGGACCGATCCTGTTAGATCGATCTAGTGATGGCAACCCAGTCTAAGTATATATGCGAAATGCAACTCCATTGGCATAAATTCCTGGTGGTTTTGCTAAAAATTCATTTTTGACCCAAGTTGTTTTACAGAGCAGGCAACCCACACACCCTCTGCCTCTTCCACCTACCTGAGGACAACTCCTGCTCCAGTGACAGCTGCTCATTGAGTAATTTCTCCAGTACCAGCTCCTGCTGGCTATTAACAGAGGCCACAGTTTCTAGAATTGCCTTGCGCTCTTCCAGGACTGACTCATCTTCTTCTTTGGCATCATTCTGGTGCTCTACCACCCAGTATTTTAAGTCTTCCCTGATGTTATGTGTAAATGTGTAAATAAATAATCAATCAATTAATTATAAAATTAATGCACCAAGAAATCAAAAAGTGAAAGAACAAATGTTACAGTAAAACAAATGAAAAACATTTAAATTAACAAGATGGAGATAAAAGAGTTCTTAAAATTTTTCATTTTTTTAAATTCTAATACAGTTCAACACATCGCACTGTTTGATAAAAAAAACTTTAATGAAAAAAGAAACTGTCAAACACACACCTGAGATTCCAGACTGGCTCCACTGTGTCAGTTTTAAAGTGACTGAAATCATTTACTATACTGGATTCATAATCCTCAAAGTCCTGAAAACTATGTGAACACACTGCTCCATCCTCTGCATTCTGCCTTATAAATGCTTCCATCTCAACCTGAAGTCTTTTCCTGGCATTGTTTAGCCTTATGAATTCCTTCTGCCAAGCCAGTTTATGCTGTTTTATCAAGTTCTGATCCTTGTGCTCTTTGGAAGCCTGTTGGATCTTCTTTATTTTAAGAAGAGATTTATGTGCTGCCATCTTTTTCACTGTTGCCAGGGTTTTAAGCTGTTCATAGTCCATGGCTCTATAGGTGGTGGTTTTGAAACCCTCGGTAAAACGTCTGACATACTTGTCTATGAAAAAAAAAAAGCATCCAATTACAAGCTAAATAAAGAATAATCTTAAGTGTCTTATGACACCTTTAATCTAATATCTTTACTTTCAACTATCTGAAAACATATATTTTTCTTTGAATGTGTATTTCTTTGAACTTCGTATTATTTTCAAATTTGTACTGTACCTCTGAAAATTGTTATTTCTACTTCTCACATTTGATTATCATAGACACTGACCAATAGGCCTGATGATGCTAATTCTGTTTCAAAATCATGGCATTATTATTGTTGTTGTTGTTACAAGGAACATGAATTTAATATGTAAAAAGTACCTTCTTCTTTTATTTTTTCCTTTGGAAAACCAGCCAGCTGGCTCTCTGTGCGATGGTTGGTCAGAAATGTCTTGTAATCTCTTCCACTCATGTTGCTGAGAATGGCTGTTCACCTGAAGGCAAAAAGAAGAATATAATTTATTTACTAAAATTAATTAATTTTTTAAATTATTATCGGATGATTAAACTGTCGTCATTTCCAGTTCAAACCCACCAGATTAAGCGATATGTCGGTACTGTTGTCTATCAAACTGTTCATTTCATCCCTTTAGCTGCCATACACAATTTCATATGAGCAAATGCAAAAGAATCTACATACCTTAACTTGTATCAGTTCTTCAGTTTCTTCAGTCAGTTCACTCACAGGGAAACGGGAGCCAATGGCCATTGGGTGTTTGTCATCGTAAAATGCTGTGAAGGGCAAATTATCATTTGGATTAAACAGGTATAACAATGAAGATATTCACTCGAGTCACACTTTAAACCACACACTATTCAATACAGGTGTAACTAAGAAAAAATGACGACCAAAACAAAAAATAAGTATACCGGAAGCGGCCATAAAAACGGTGCAATCTGGGATAGCTATCCAAGACATAACTAATGCTAGAATTAAACCCAAATCATGATTTATTAAACACTGACCCACTTTAATACTTACAAATCCTACGGTCAGCACAATCTGTCGAAAGGCTATTTTATTTAAACATATTTGCTACAATTCTATATCATTTTTGCTCTCCTGCTTAAACCATGTTTTAGGATTGTCTTGGGCTTCCATGTCATCACTCGGAGAATGAAGAGCGTGGAGATCGGAGAATGTAGGTGCAGTTTCTTTACTATTTCCATCACTTGTACGATACCTTAAGTATTGCAGTTAACTCCCCGGAAAACTCATTTGAAAATGTAGTTTGAAAACAATTTGATGCACTGTTTGAGTACCGTGGTAATTGGATTCCCAGGGCTTCTTCATTGCAAGAGTCGATTTCGCCGACAGTCGCCTTCATTGACGCTTCAAAGTCTACTCGTACTACGACCTGGCTTTTGATTCTAGAAAATTAATCCCCCTTAATGCCATCAATCAAAACTTAGCCGCAGGTGTCTTTCATCAATTAAAGGTAAAAGTCGATATTACGCTAGTTTGTATTCTGATTGAGATGCTATCGGCTTAGCCTTTTCCAAATTTATGAAACTGCCGCCGGGCAGTTTAAACACGCTTTAATTAGTAATGAGCATAAACCATCGGTTTATTAGAAGACAAAAAATCTTATTGGGAAGAAATGCTGTTTTGTTTTGTGGCTTGATCTGATTAGGTGGAAACGACCATGATCTTACGATATTAAGAACTTAGAATATTAACTTTTTCACTACACACTTATTGGCTTCCACAGATGTAAATTTTGATAGTGTGGTTGTGTGTGTGTGTGTGTGTGTGTGTGTGTGTGTGTGTGTGTGAGAGAGAGAGAGAGAGAGAGAGAGAGAGAGAGGAGAGGAGGAGTGAGGGAGGGAGGGAGAGGGAAAGAGTGAGATATGATGATGATGCTCATGAGTAGAGATACACTTTTCAGCGTGTTCCCTCTTTTGACTATGTTCATCCTACACAGTATGTTTATAGAAAAAATGAATAAAAGGGAACAGTCTGCTATTTGATATTCAGGTAGTTGATGCAGCTAAAATATATCAGTCACTGATTAGTTACTACTAGTATATGTGTTTGCTTTTCTCCATAATCTTATCTCACTGGTCTATATATATATACAGATATATTTACATTAGGCTGCATTCGGATGATGGCTCAGTGTAAAATATTTAAGTTGTTACCTCAAGCAGTAAAATCTTGGTTGTGCACCCTTGCATTCATGTCCAGTTTTGCTACTAGCCACTACTGACCACTTACTGGCACTGTTAGAGCGCATTCTCAACGAATTAAGCCAGGCTTTACAAAGCCGGTGACCTAAAAATGGCAGACGTACATGAAAGAAAAACCGCCTAATGTTTTGATAGTCTCTCCGCCTCTCACACGTCGTCCCTACAGTAATTAAATCTTGGCTCCGTTCGCCATGCGGAAGCTACCTGAGAAATATTAAGTGCGCATGCTCATCAGTTAAACTCGTGGTGAAGAAAGCATGGCGGCTGAAGGCGATCGAAGGAAAAAAGCTCTTCTGTTCTATTATCTTTGAAAACAGAGAGGAAAAAGGAATAATTTGGCCCGTAGAGCAGCAATGAATCGACTATCTACGGAGATAATATCACCAACGATATTCACAGAAATATTAATGTTCGGAGCAGAGATTTAATTACTGTACCCCGCAGGGACGACGTGTGGGGAGGCGTGTGAGAGGCGGAGAGACTATTTAAAGATTAGGCGGTTTTTCTTTCATGTACGTCCGCCATTTTTAGGTCACCGGCTTTGTAAAGCCTGGCTTAATTCATTGAGAATGCGCTCTTAAACCCATTGATTATTGGTATATTATATAGAGAGAAAGGTAGTTACTGGAGTTTGCCATCCAGTATCTGCATCTAGATTTAAGTGTGGTTTAGTAAAAACCATTGTGACTGCAACCTCAGGCAGATGTCTAATTTTTTTTGTCAGTAGCACTCCTATTCACGTTTTCTGTATTTACTGAGGGGACTGAGTGCTATATACAGAGGCAGTCCAGAAGCCATGAGATGAAAATTGTGTAGGTTTAAACTGTGTTATTCATATACTAGTACTGGTACTGGCTTGATGTAAGCCAGGTTACGTGGGCCTAGTAAAGTCCACTGTGTGCATTAGTAGTCTGCTACTAAAATGTTGAAAAGCACCCTGTGCACTAATGAGACTTTTTGGACTTTTGTCGGAATTCTGACTTTTTCAGGGTCATTTGGGTTATTCTTGTGAATCGTGTACCCTGGACTCCCAGCCAGTTTTCCTACTTTTTCAGTGAGGACAGGTCTCATCCCTGTCTGTGATATTTTGAGCCATCAACGGGAATGCGTTCCTTGCCAGACATGATACCCTTTCAATGTATTTGTCATTGGGGGGCAATTTGACACCTAAGTGCAGAACTTTACATTATCCCAGGCAGTTAAAGTGCATGAATTCTCCTAGGGCCCCACAGTGTGATTTTGTATCGTATTTTAGGGGGCTCTGATATTTATCAGAGGGTTGTAAAGATGATGGGGGGACATTTTTTTTCAAATTTAATTTAAATTTATCCAGGTCAAAACTTGTTGGCTTTAAGCATGAAAGTTGAGGATATTGAAGAGAATTGAGAATTTCAGTAACGGAGCCTGAGCTACGTCTGATGTTGAAATAATATTCACCTCCTGTGTCTTTCCGAGTCTAGATTTATAGTGAATATTATATAAAAAATACAAGCAGGAGTGTCTGAGGCTGAATTTATAGACTAACAGACATGCTAACACTCATATGGCTACATGTATATATTAGTATGCAGTTTGTATTTAAGGAAATACACAGATTTGGCTTCTTTTAAAATCCATTTGTCATTGAATGGGATTATGGTACCCTCAGTTCAATAGTTTTGATTTAGTGCTTGTTCTTCAGTGTAGTAAATTAAAAGTGAGTGTTTTATGAGGGAATGTCAAAAGATAAGATGACTGAGAATTTGTGTCCTTTTTTTTTTTCGACAGTTTTAAAAAGTATTTTATGATATTGTGCAGCAGTGCACACTCAGATTTTTATGGGATGGACCATTTTAGCAATTTCAGCATTGTTGTTTCATATTATGTGAGGTGAGATGAAATATATTAAAACCAGTGATATAAATAAGTGTAGCAATGAATTATTGATGTCTTCTTAGGTAAGCTATTGTGCATATTATTCATGAAAACTAGCACGAATACAATAGAGTACTTGAGCTCCACTACTTAAGATTAATACAGATGTCAGAGACATCACAGTGTCTCATACAGCTACCATGCAAGACTTCCATAAGGAAGATAACCTGAAACCTGTGTGTATTACATTATGGCGAGGTTGACTAGGTTCCCATACATACAGCGATCTAACAGGACCGATCCATCTCCAAGGGGTTTCTTGCTAAATTGCTTTCAGCTCAAGCTGCTTAAGATTTGTATAGTATGCCTACTGAAGCTGCTGAATGATAATTAATTACTGTACTGCCTTGTAGCTTCAGTAGGTATGATGGACATGTAAGCCGCTTAAGTTGATTGCCATTTAGCGAGAATCCCCTTGGAGATAGATTGATCCAAAGTTAGTATGATAGTCTCTGGGAATGGTCTCTTACATTATGGTGAGGTTGTGTGATGTAGGGAAGCCTAAGATAAAGACAGGCGGAATATTAACTGGTGCTGTCTGACAAAGCTGCTCATCTAGAATAATGACCATGTGTGCCGAAGTCATTAAAATTCATATACCACTACATACTTAATGATTGAAATGAGCCTGGAGAGCCACCTGGAGTCCTCTTGTGTATTATGTCCCCCATCTAGGCACATTTAATCTGTTAACCAGATGACTGGAGTAATAATCCCCGTGAGCTGACTAATTGGGGGAATTCTGCACAATTTGTTGCTTTGGTGCATCTTTTTTTCCTCCTGCAAAGTTGTGTACATGACATGTATGACTATGAATTATTTATATAGATTGACGCCAAATGCTTAACTTTGTCTCCGTGAAGCTGTTTAGCATATAGCTTATGAAATTATCTGTAGACTTCATAAAGCAGTGTATGGTGTATTTTTTATTTGGGCACTGGAGACGAAATTGATAAGTTTGTTATTTGGTTTGGTTGACAGTTCTCTAGCATAAAAACAATATTAGGCTTTCTTTGGATGAGTTTTGATTTTTCCCATCTTACAAAACCAGTGCATTAAAATTTGTTTGAAAAAATAGGTGAAAATAATTGCAATTTTCTCAAAATCAGTATTTGACGCACACATTAACCAATATTACCACCTAACAATTTTGGTCTGGCCTTTCACATTTCTTCATGGCTATTTGCTTGTCTTAATTTTTTCACACTGATGCAGGGATGAAATTTGCAAAGTATTTATATATTAATAGACTTGACAGTTTTTTTTTTTTTTTGTGTGTGTGTGTGTAATTTTACATGGGATATTTGAAGAAAAACTCACACACACATGCATGCATACATACACACACACATGCACACACACACAGAGTGAGAAAGGATATGAATGTGTACATCTAAACAGTGTTGGATATAATAAAGGCATTGATGTTACATCTGGCACTGCCTTGTAAAACAGATTGTATCATGGTAATACAGATGCCTAATGAATTACTTATGACTGCTTGTGTTGTATGGACACGTAGCACATGTCACAAATAGAATACTTTGTCTTATGCTGATGTTGTAATAAGGATTTTGTTATTATATTGCATTGCCTAAAATCTAAATTACTATGATTTCAGAAATTATGGGTTGCTTGGGGGGGGGGGGGGTCAAGTGAATTCGTTGATAAATATTGTCTTACTGTCTGAACAAAATCATTTTTTAGTGCATTAAGAATATTTTTCTGTTCCGTACTAAATTTTTTTGACCTTGTACGAATACTACGTGTCTTGAATTGATTTAATTAGGTCTGTGTGTGTGTGATTGCGTAAGGGGGGGGTCTCGAGACGGCTTTTATTCTTCATTTAGCCAGACCTCTATCACTGTTTATAACTTACAGCCAAGTGGATGTCTGTTGTGAGGTAAGACTTGGGCCAGTTGTGTATCATGATGTGTCTGTCTCTGGAGGAGTCAAGGCCAAAGTCTTAGACCCCATTTCCAGAGATTAGATCGATCTACTTTAGATCGACCTAACTCCCTGGGGGTTCACGCTAAAT